AACAATCCTAAATCAGTTTTGGGTATTTTGGCTAGATATATCCCACTTCCTCTCTTTCCTAGAGCGACGGGTTTCCTTGTCTTATTATGGCGCATAGCTTCCTCTAATTTAGACAGATACAGCTTTAGCAATACCAGCAGCACCACCGGATAAGGCTCCAAAGGCACCGACTCCAACAAACAGAGAGAACTTTCATTTTTTTTCCACCACCAGCCATCTAATCGTTTTGCAAGCTGCTTGAAGTGCCGGTTTTATATAATCCCTGGTTCCTTTGTAACGTGCCAAAATTGCCTTCAACTATTTCACACTTTAGTTTTCCATTCAAAATTCCTATAGATATTTAATTTTTCCCCGATTTCATTAGACTTTGTTCACATTTTTCGTTTATAAAACTTCAACAATAATTACGGTAGTTGCTATTTGATCATTAGTGAAAAGCTGTCTTAAGAAGTGAAGACCACCTCACTCACTCCAGGGTTTCGAATCTAGAACACAATCCAGACTAATCCAGAGTATTTTCGAGGCAAATAAAACCCATTCCAACAGGTGAGACATAATCTAATAACGACAGATTTTCTTTGCAAACTTGAACCACATTTTCTTTCCTTTCAAATATATCAGGAGGTGGTGCGTTCTCGAAAACGTGAAGTAAAAAAAAGACATTCTTATAAACCTCATATTTTAAGTTTTTTATCCTCGTCACTAAGAGCTTGATTGGGTAGCTTTATAGGTAATTTTCCCAACAATCCCAAGCCAGTATTGTGTGTTTTGGCTGGATATATTCCATTTCCTTTCTTCCCCAGAGCGATGGCATCCATAATCCTATTATGGCGCATTCTCTAATTTAGGCAGATACTGCTTTAGTAATACCAGCAGCCCCACCGGATAAGGCTCCAAGGGTGCCAAGTCCAGCAAATAGTTTCTTCTTTTTTTGGTGGAAAAGTCGTCTGATTAAAATCCGAGTAGCGCTACAGCCGGAGGCGTATGGTGCTGAATCTTCCTGTTTACTGAACTCATTCCAAAACCCTGGTTCCCTGCAGTAGGCCTGTTGGATGTTTGTCGTATGTGTCTGGATCTAGTTCATCTTCTCCAAATATATTGACTTCTGCGAGTTAGTGCATCGCATTCTGATATAATATGTTGGGCTGTTTTGGTCTCTGTTCCGCATAGTCTGCAGCTCGTGTCTCCGTTGTACAAACCCATTGTTTGCAGGTGCTTTTTCACTAAGACATGCCCAGTAAGAAAGCCGGTTGCTACTCTGAGTTGATTCCTGCTTAGTTGTAGCAGTCTTTTTGCTCTTTTCCTGCATGTCTCACGTATGAAGATTTTCCCATGTGCATGCTTGGGTATTTGCTTCCAGTATTGAGCAAGTTTTGCTTTGATCCATTCCTTCAGCTCCTTTCTTACTGTGCTCACTCGGCACTCCGAGAGCTGGTTCGGGACCAAGGTATTCTGTGGATGACCCTCTGCGTGCAAGTTCGTCGCCCAGGATACCTTTATGTTCTGGCACCCACATCAATGTGACCTTATTTTGGTCCGCCAAGTTGTTTTGTTCTTCTCGGCATTCTATTACCAGTGCAGAGTTTGCCTTAGGGTTCTTCAATGCCCCCGTTATTTTATCGAGGGCGTAGTCGGCGCATTAGCTAACCGAATTAAGAGGCCCTTATGAATGGTCACGGGGGAGCTGCGGTACCGTCTAAGCATTGGTTCCCAGCACCCCTCTTCGTCTGTTCGTCAGTACGGTTTCCTTCGGTGTTCTAAGTTTAGTTTTTCCCATACGAATTTGCTGAATCATCTTCTTGATCGGTTTTCGGAGCGGAGCAGTAGTGCTGCGATGTTTTCTGTGGACCTTGGTTATCTCTTCTTCAATTGTCTGTTCGGCTGCCCTTCTCCCAGCACTCCACTGCGGGCACTGGAAGATAGTATGCACATTTGTGTCCTCCTGTTCGCACGACCAACATCTGGCGGACTCTCTATCACACCATTTACTTATGTCCTTGATGAAGGTTTTGGTGACTCCGTTGTAGTCATTCCACCTGTTTTGCCAGGATTCCAGCGTCCTTCTTCTGTCCCTCTGTTGGTATCGTAATTGGCAGACTGAGAGCGATGCTATCACCAATATCGCGGTTGTTGGGACCGTTTTATATGCCGATGTGATTCTAATGGCCAGCTGCCGGTTTAGTCTCTCCATCATATTCCTGTAGTGTTTGAACTTTAGTGCCTTCGTCCATATAGGCACACCATAGATAAGGACTAACTGTGCCGCCGTTGCCCGCATGTTGCGTGATTTCCTCCAATTTTGCACCGTTCTTTGCCTTTGTCACTACAGCGTATGCGATGATCTCCACGTCTTTACCAAAATTAAGTCTTACGACGCTGTCATAAAAGACATTCCAGAGGGTCAGGCCAAGTACAGATCCGTGAGGTACCCCGCACGTCGTGAGGGTTTTATTGTTCTTCTCGGTTATTACGTGTCTGTCTTTTAGGTACGACTGTGCGATTCTAACAATGTAAGGGCTAATAGTAGTTTTCCTCATTGCTTCAACGACTTTAGGCCATGGCGCAGTAGTCTTTTCTCCAGTCTGCATCATCACATTATGGTGATGGCTTGAGTATTCCCTGAGTTTGTTCTGAATTTTCCTAGGCTGTATTCCTTTCCCTCCATCTTTCCCAGTACGTCTTCAACAGCCGTCATCACCTCCTCTGTGGTTGTAGATCTGTCTACTCCTCTTCTTTCGAGTTGGGATCTTCTAGTCCGCTTCTTCTGATGTTTGTTTCTTGGTTCGAACACCTAATTCTCTTCAATGCCCTCAGTGCTACCTGCCTGTCTGTGAGTAAAATGAGTCTCCTATATTTGTTGATTCTTGCGAATTATAGTATTGCATATACCTCTGCCTGAAAAACAGATGTATGTAACCCTTCTTGACTGTAGATTCTTGCGCCTGTGCCATTCTCAGTCTTTGATCCATCCGAGTACCAGGTCTGGCCTTTAAGAATGGAGAGTGTATGTTGGTTTTCCCATTCCTTCCTTTCACTAATCGGGACTTGGAAAGATATGTCGGGTGAGTAATTGGGAAGTGGCCTGATCTGACTGTTAGTTTGCTCAGGTTGTTACGTTGTCTGAGGCCGATCCTGGCTTCCTTCTGAATCATGGTGGGCTTTTCATGCACCCTGTAATGCTCAGACAGGCAAGTCTATGCACCCTGCCAAGTCTCATTCTGGCTCTGTCTTGTTGTGTCATTGTCCACCATATCAAAGACGCATAGGTTATTGCTGGCTTTAAACTGTTGTGTATAGACAGTGCATCATGTCCGGCCGCAGCCTCCAGGTTTTTCCGAAAGTTCTCCTTGGTAGTATAAGTACCAGTTCTGACCTTTGAATTACTTTGTCCAGATGTTCGTTCCAAGTTAATGTTGGGTCTATCATTACGCCAAGATATTTAACTTCATCCGACATCGTAACTGGGCTTCCCTGAAGGTAAAGAGGTCCAAGTCCCTCCATTTTCCTTCTTTTGGTAAAGGGGACAATTGTCTATCTGGTGGCACTATTATTCAACCCTAGAGTCTCTGTCCACTTATGGACCATTGTTAGAGCCTGTTGCATGCAATCTCTAGCTGTATGGATGAATTTTCCCTGGGATATTATAACTAAGTCATCTGCATATCCCACTACTTGATGGTTGTTGCTCTTCAGTAGCTGATAATTTTTAGCAGCTGGATTTTTTTTCGACCACCAGCCTGTCTAATCGTTTCGGGAGCAGCTTGAAATGCCGATTTCATATAATCGCTGGTTCCTTTTTCACCTCGTTTTCCACAATAGTGCTTCAACTGCTTTCTCACACTATTACCATGGCAGGATTTAAATGGTCTCATTCTCCCACACCCCATTTTGGAAATAAGATCAGATCACATAATGTCGACTCATAACTTTGAAAGACCGTGCAGGATCAAGTGCGACCCTAACTAACACAGATTGAGGATAAAGTACCGCGTGAAAATCTTGTCCAACGGCTATTATACCTGGGGTGCACAATAAGCCCACAGGTTGCAGTGCATGGAAGGCCAGAGCACCTAGATCCCCTCTTCAACCAACTAACCCACACCCCATTCGAAGCTTTCTTTCAGTTTTCATTACAACTAACCCAAACTAACCAAGCTGTGCTCTTCTCTCCAAAACAAGAATCTTGAGCTTTGACTCGTTCCCACGCTGTCCCAAACTGTATCTGCTTGACGCCTATGCTCTAGATCTGTATTTGTAGAGTACTCGATATCGTGTGAGGGATCGCAGTATCAACATTTCAAAATTCGGTCCTTGCCAATCTGCATCATTCTTTTGGATGCTATAGTCATTTGTTTTCATGTTGAAATTCTGTATCGACTCCACTTGAGATAAAGTTTGGTAAGTAGTCACCCTGTATATGTTCGTTATTGAGGAGTATGTTTACAAATTTGATTTTGTCTTGATTGAAAATTGCGAAAGCAGCCAGTGAGCGCGTGCAGAAAGAGTTTTCTTCATCGCATTTTAAGCTTTCCATGAGAAGTTTTTTTTATGAGTTTTCTTTCCATTTTTATTTATTTAATTCTTTATATAGTATGCCTACATTAATGAAAGCCTAGAATAATTATTAATTTACTGCGCATTGTCTAGAACTTAAGATGTTTTTCCCCATTTGTCTCAATACTACTAACAACAACCAAACGAAGAATTTAAAAACGGAAATCTTAAAGAATAATAGTCTTCTCTGTCAGAGACTCCAATTATCCTATGCAAAAATTCTCGACATTATAAGCTCCTTACATTCAAATAGAACATGATTATTCTAGGTACTAACAAGCACAAATCCGACATCAATATTTTCGAAGGGCCTTTGTAGGATTTCAACATAAATCAAGAGGGTCTAAGATAAATCGCAAAGCCCTGAATGAAATATTTACTTTTACCGCACAACAAAACAGGCACGGAGAGAAAAGCAACTGAAAGAAGTATGGCAAACTACTTACATTTTCCTCCGGTTCGTGACCTTTTTTTGTGAATTTCTTTTTTGTCACGAATTAGACCCATTACGAGTAGTTTTTCGACGACTCGGTTTTTCGGCCTCGGAACGTCCAAGTCTTCTAGAATGTTACCCAATGGATCTGAAAAAAATTAAAAATGGAAATAAGCAAGGCAATTATTATAATTTTATTTTTTTTACCGTGGCTATCTTTATATTTTTCATAAAGCTCTTGAAGATTAGCTTCTTCTTCTAAAGACCACTCTTTCGGAGGCCTCGCTGCACCAGACTTTTTTCGGCCTTTATAGTCAACCAAAAGCATCAATTCTTTAAGTTTTTTAATAACTTGCCTTCGGGATTTTGTCTGATCGATAACATTTGATGTAACAAAATCAACAACATCTAGAATAAGATTTTTTTATTAATATATTTTATGTGAATTTATTAAATTACCATTTTCATTTCCTGATTGTTGATGTTCCATAAATAGCCTTCTCAATTCATCTTCTTCTTCCTCGGACCAGGCCCTTGAAGCTGTTCTAATTTGAATTAAAAAATACATTGTGTGGTATAAAATAGTATACACAATGAAGCTTCCGAGAAAAGTTTATCGTGCAAAAAAACTTAAGCCCGGATTTACTTCCTACATTATAAACGATCGTTTTTAAATTTTTATTCTTTTTTGTTATAAAAGTTTCATGGCTTTATCGGGGGGAATATTTTGTATAGAAAATCCCCTCTGATCTACGCTTAAGCCAACTTTATACAAAGCCGATTGAAAGTTTCGCATCAAAAATAATACTTACTTTCCATGCGACTCCGTGTATCCGTGCTCGATATCGTAGCACTCGTTGCTGGTCTTCCAAAATAGCGTCTCCATAAAAACTTTTTTGTTTGTCTCGGCCACTTTCAGGAATTGCCTTACGATGTAAGTTGCGAACTTCACCAATTCCTAAAAATTGTTTCGGAACCAGTTTTACTAAGTGGAAACGCTCATATCGTTCGGTCAAGACGATTGCGAAACTATGTCATAGGATTTATTAGGCTCATCAAGGGCGACAAACGGAAAAGTCCAGAGAAGACAGATAGAGGTGTTTGTGTGGCTTTTGATTTATATTTTTTGAGAACTTTTTGTGTTAAAGCAAGAGACATATTTTATAGATTGGTCATGGAATGAACCAAAATTTGATTAGACAATTATAGTCGCAAGCAAGCTAGATGGGCGATAAATCAACTTCAACCATTCAAGGTTGAATATATCCAGTACTATCGCAAAAGGGACAGGATATCCTATTTCCATAGCTATGCAGATTGAGGGGGGGGGGTGCCAAAAAAGTAGGCAAAACACCAGACCAGACATCTAAGTCATATAGACCGATAAGCTTATCCTCGTTCATGCTTAAAACTAGGCTAGTGGATAATAGGGACAATACGCCAATATGCCGGAAAAGTCGACAGAATTAGCACTGGATGACCTGAATAGGCTGTTCTCCAAGTCAATAGAGGACAAGGAGATAGCTCTGGTCAGTTACCTGGATATAAAAGGGACATTCAATCATGCCTCAACAAACTCTATCACATGAGCGCTGGAGAGGAGAGGAGGTCCAGGGCACTGTGCAAATGGATAGAAATTAGTCTGTAGAACAATGTACAATAATGTACGCGCTCAACACTTTATTGTAAACGTAACATAAGGCACCCTTTTCAGTCATCATTCGATGGGTGACATGTTGAGTGGGGGGCTAAAATAATTAGAAAAATAATGGCAGTCTCTGTCAAAGATCCTCTATGGTAGCTGATTGAGTTTAACGTTGTAAGCTTGGAGTTTCTTTTGAATAAATTGGATCTTCAAGAATCAAGTCCAGTCTTTCAAAGTTGTTTACCTAAATACACAAGAGTCTGCCATAAGCAGAGTAAAAGATGTCATTCGTTGGCTCCATAGAACATTTTAATGTGAGTGAAGGCGATTTCGAGTCTTATAGGGCAATTATTCAAGGTAAATAATACAAAGGACAAGGACGAAGGTCCTCTATTTATAACTTTGATTGGCCCAGATGTTTACAAGTTATTAAAAAGTCTAATGCGGCTGAAAGCCCTGGGTCAAAATTCTTTATGGATATGTTGGATATTCTAGAAAAACATTTTACACCACACGTATCAGTAATCGCTGAAAGGTACAAGTTCAATAGCAGGAATCAGAAACCAGATGAGTCGGTGACTGATTATATTGTTCAATTGAAAACCTTGTCAGATTCGTGTGAATATGGGAACTTCCTTGACCAGGCTCTAAGAGATCGTTTTGTTTGTGGTATTCGATGTGAGTCAGTCGTACAGAGATTATTGACGAAGGACACTTCACTGAAATTTGAAGAAGCTTGTAAAGCGGAACTGAATTATGGAATGTCAACTATACATTCAAAATTAGTCTTTTTACAAAGTAGTGTCCATCAAGTTAAGTCACAAAGCATGTCAGCGTCAGCAGTGGAAAAAAAGCAACTAAAGTTCAGTCAGCGTCCAGTCAAACAGTCAAACCCGTCCACATAATAAGGTAAACTGGAACCAAAACAATCAAGCACAAAGTGGTTGTTTTCGGTGTGGAAAACAGCACAATCCAGATACATGTCCTGCAAAAAACTGGGAATGTTTTGTATGTAAACGCAAAGGTCACACATCCAGGTGCTTCAGACAGAGGTCCAGAGGAGTCAACTATGCTGAAGGAGAAAAAAAATTCAGAGTCTGAAGAGGAATATGATGAGCAATGTCTAATTTGAATTTCAAAGAATATAGTAATAATAATAATAATAATAATAATAATATAAATGTATTATTTTTCTCAATCACAATTATAATGTACAGCTGAAATAGATATTTAAAATTATTGAATGAAAAAAATAAAAGGCCATGTCATTGCAGACATCTGGTATGATATGTGTCAATAAATAGAATTTCAAGTAAATGTGTAGTCATTCAGGTCAGTGGCGAAAACAAAAACATTGAGATGGAAATCGACACAGGAGCCAGTGTAATTGTGATTTGTCAACAAGATTATGAAGAGTATTTTGATCATTTAGCATTATCTACTAGCAATGTATCAATAAATGCTGTGACAGGGGATGAATTGTTAGTCAGGGGTCAAATTATTGTCAAAGTCAAATCAAATAATGAAAATATTGATTTTTTACCACTAACTGTAGTTAAACCTGGTAATTCTTTTAATCAGTCATGTTATACTTAACATGGCTTGGGAAGTGGATTACTTATTAATCTTATTTAGTGATGAGTCCCAGAAGGAAGAGTGCGATATGTTCATGCTGATTAATTGAAACCATCGTTGTTGCAGTATACAGAGACAGATGTTCGGCCTGATATTCCTAGTAAAACAGCTGTGGAGTTAAAAAAAAAATGTCCCACCCTCGGTAGAAGTGGTAGAACCAAAAACTCCTACTTCCTTGCCTACTCCTATTCCTCTTACATCTAAATATCTCATTAAAAAAAAAAAGGTTACAGTTTCTGATCATTCAGGGACATCTCCACGCTTGTTGCCAATGACATCTCCTTGTTGCGTAGATATCAAAGATCTGCCAAGGCTCCTGAGAGGTTGAACCTTTGAACGCTAGGATCTTGACAAAAGCTAAGTGGGAAGGAATGTAATGTACGCGCTTAACACTTTATTGAATAGGTAACATAAGGCAACTTTTCAGTCATCATTCGATGGGTGACATGTTGAGTGGTTGGCTAAAGTAATTAGACAGTCTCTGTCAAAGATCCTCTATGGTAATTGATTGACTTTAATGTTGTAAGCTTGGAGTTTCTTTGGAATAAATTGGATCTTCAAGAATCAAGTCCAGTCTTTAAATGTTGTGTACCTGAATACACAATAACCAAGAGAAGCTACCATAAAGGCAGCGGTTGGAAGAAGATGTCCATAGGGTGGAGTCCTATCCCCACTGCCATGGGTTACTAGTGGACGATTTGCTCCGGAAACTCTCTGAGAGGATTTTTACTGCCTAGACTACGCAGACGACCTAACGATTGTGGTACGAGGCAAATTTGTCAACAGACTATCGGAAAGAAGCCAAAGGGACCTTAAAATAGCGGAAAAATGGTGCGAACAAGAGCAGCTAACAGTTAATCCAAGAAAATCAACAGTTTTCCTGTTCACCAAAAGGCGAGTCCTCAATGGACTGAAACCACTGGTGATAAATAGGGAGGATCTGAAATTTTCTAAAGTGAAATACCTCGGAGTAATTATTTTTGACCAGAAACTCACTTGGAAATCGCATATCCAGAAGACAACAGTTGCTTTTTGGAGAAGGAGAAGAATGTGCAGAAAAAACTGGGCCTAAACAGGAAAATGACCCTGTGGCTATACAGGGGGCTAATGAGGCCAATGATTATAGGGAGGTGAAATGACGGTCATTTATTTGTTGTGATAGGTGACAGTAATTTTTTTGTAATTTTTGTCATTTTTTGTCATTTATGGTCATTTACCTTCAATATTGATATAAGCACCAGATAGGTGATAATCAATAAAAATTAAAAATAAGCTAAAACGAAAATTAATTTGAATACGTAATAAGTAATACCATAAGTACAACAAAAATAATTCATATAATCTCCTGGATTAATTCTACCATCATTCATTAAATCCATAGTTTGACTACTATTTGACACTAAAAATCATATAATAGTACAAGAAGATGATCGTATTCCCTATTCCCCATTTGACCATACATCACATAGAATACCAAGAACTTTGGCATTTGTTAAATTGTCTGTTACTTGTAAATAAACTTTCTCGTACACAGTGTTTAAAAGTGTATAAATGAAACGTGAGGACAGAGAAAAGGACAGTCTGATTTTTTTAAAAGTTGTACCCAATATGTATTCTCTGTTATATTCAGTGGAAGGCCTGTTGCATATATCGCCTTTGCCAGCATCAACCAGATTTCGTTCTCCTAGTCAGGTTTAATGTTGTCAATAAAAATGCTTATTGAACTACTTTGACAATCAATTTTCTGAATATTACATGAAGTTGAAGTTCTTGATGTGGTCTTTATCCGTTCCTCTTCTGTCTCTGCTTGTGATTGGGATACACATACCTCCACCTTAGCCTGAGACACTGATTCTTCATTTTTACGTTTGTTGAAGTTCCGGTTTTGTGTTTCTCTCTGATTGAATTCCCTTCTCAACATAGTTTTTATCATATCGGGGCAACGAACACATGTAATCAAATATTGAGCCATCCTAGTTGCATGATGTGTCACTTGCTTCTTGCATTCAAAACATTTTAAACTTTTGTCCAGATTTAACTATCCTACTAAAGTATTTGCAATGCTCCTGTTCCTACCCATTCTATGTCCCTAAATATACCGTCCACGCAACAAAAAACAGGCACAATACTGTTCAAAACACGCAAACGCAGCTGAAAAACTGACTCGCACAAGAAACCGTCCGCCATTTAATTGAACACCGAATTAAGCATGCTGTAGCTTGTCTAAAGCAGTGAAAATCGAAAGTCAGCTAGGCTGGAACTCTGGAACGAATAGAGATATTTTCTCTATCTCTATTGATATCGAAAATAGAGAAGAAGATAGCCATAGCGATGGGGATAACGACCTCTATACGTTACAGAGTCCCAGCCCTGATATTTTTGTGACACTGTCATATATTTTAATGACGATCATACCCCCCATTTTTATTCTCATCCGTGACTTCACCGATGCGTTAGCTATCTTTGTTTAGTGAATCGAAAATGACAATGACCGACATAGAATGATGGATCCATCGGTAAAATTTGATGAGAATAAAAACGCATGTATATATTAGGTCTGCTCGAAATGAGTTCAGAATCAGTTCTGAATTGAACTGCGCTTGCGCATTTGTTCATATCGAACATAAAAAAACAAATGCGCAAGTGCAGTTCGATCCAGAACTGATTCTGAGCCAAGTCCAAACCTATTTTAATGACGTTTATTTTTTTGACAGTCAGAAAGTTTAATCGATGAAAAAATAAATGACAGGGGTGTCATAAAAATAAATGACGTGACCGTCATTTCGTTTTGACTGTGACATGACATTGTCAGAAAAATTGTTTTCTTTTGGATAGAAACTTGTTACTTACTACCGTGTATTGTGAGTTTCAATTCCAACTCCCTGCTCTTACTATTGACGCCCTGGGTCATTATTCTTGAAACACGGGAGCAGCGTTTCCAGGAGAACGAGTGTTCCGTCTTTGTTACGTATATTATCAGTTCCATATTATTGATAAAGACAGAACACTCGTTCTCCGGAGAACGCTGCTCCGGTGTTTCAAGAATAAGGACTCTGACATTTTATACTCCACTTAGCTCTTCCAGTCAAGCTTTTTATGATAGCCCTTTTTTTGTCTTGGATAGTGGTTGGACTCCTTGTTCAAATATCTGTATGTGTGAGTTGGTTTTCGATACACCCTGTTGGCCCAAACTGCCAACTGGTTTTCGTTCCACTAGTACATCTATCTAGAAACGCCAATTTATTGTTGTTTTCCGTTTTCATTGTGAACTCTATCCTGGGTTCTTGAGAATTGAGGAAATTCAAAAAATTTTGGAGTTCCTGTTCACAATAGGCCGGCATACACACACGTTATTTCGCGCGGTTTATCATGTCATCTGCAAAAACCTGTGAAAAATCATGTGCGTGAGTGAGGAGGGCTGCATGCAATGATAGAATGGGAAGGGATTTCATACATGCTTTCATCTGGGATGTGGCATCAGTACTCAAGTACATGATAGTGCGTGTCCACACGCCATTCTACGTCACGGTTTTAAGGCTAGTACGAAAACATGAACGCCGCGTAGCATACTATCACGTTGAAAATTAGTACATGACCAGATGCACTTTCAAATGACACGATAAATTACACTTTTTGCCCACACACATACAAATTTTCCTTTGAAACTGATATATCCCGCGTAATCACATGCTAAATCATTTGAATACTTTTTCAAGTGTATGGAACATAACGCTTTTTTTGCCACGCCGTTCTTTCGCGCATGCAAACCGCTACATCCCAACACGCCACGATAAACTGCGCGAAATAACGTGTGTGTATGCCGACCTAATGGCTCCAAATAACAAAGGTATCGTCGACGTACCGGAACTAACAGGTTGGTTTCTTGTATGAGAGTTGCAGCGCTTGTTGTTCAAATTTTTCCATGTAGAAGTTTGCTATAACTGGACTAAGAGGGCCATTGTCACCCTGTCAATTTGTTCATAAAACTCGTGGTTCCATTGGAAGTATGGAATAGTGCCAAAATATTCTCCGGGAATTCATGGCTAAGAAGTTGCAAGGTTTCCCTAACTAGAATCATTGTAAATAATGAGACCACGTCGAAGCTCACATCCCTGGCGTAGCTGTTGGTATTTTCAATGAGAGGCTGAAGCAGTGTTGTGAGATGTTTCGCGATGTCGTACGTCGGAGAACCAAGTGCGCTTACTATCGGTCTGAACGGCACGTTTTTCTTGTGAATTTTCGGCAACCCGTACGATCTTCGGTCTTTCGTATAGCTTTCTTGGCATGCGGCTCCAGGTCTGACTCTGAAATAAGGTTGTTGGTCTTTCAAGGGATTCTGGCAGTGGGGTCATGTTTTAATTTTCTGTAGATTTGTGGGTCCAACAGATTTTCGATTTTACGTTCGTAATCTTGTGCGTCCATAACCACAGTGGCGTTTCCCTTGTCTGCTGGCCTGACAAGAATAGTGTCATCTCGGTTAAGACTCCGGATGGCTCGCGATTCTTCAATAGTTAGATTTTCTATCGGTAGTTTAGCTTGACGTAAAATCCTTGCTGTTTCCGGAAATACGAGGTGGTAGGAGTACAGTAGCACCAGTAACCACCACCGATACCGTTATTTTTTCGCCATCCTATTACCGCGATTTTCCGCCACGTACATAGTATTTTCGCCGACTTCCTTCATTCTCCCCGCTCTTCGTCTCTCATTTAATTGCATTTTCACTGTTCCTTATATCTTATTTGGCAAATAAAAACTTTAATTTGCTAGTTGAATTATGTGTTTCATTTTGAGGATGCGCATATTGACCTCTGGTTTTCCGTCTCCATTTAACAAACTTCCTGGAGCATGTGGGCCCTCAACCACTATAATCCTGAGGGTGGCGCCTGAGTTTTCCGAAAACCCCTCAACCGTCCAGAAACCCAAAGTAGCGCTACAAATCTAATATAAGCAAACTAGATGAATTCAGGTTATTCAGATGCGAGAAAAATTATAAAGAGGTAAATCGCAAATGCGAAAACATTTTCCAGACAAAAGAGTGAAAGTTGACTCCCATTAATTAAAACTGCGTCCAGAAGAACTTCGACGCTTCTTGGGAAAAGGCATTAAAGTAGAATCAGAACTAGATGATAAATAACCAATATCGACGGATATATTGAATCAACCCCATGGGGCGTGGAAACACCAGGGGGGTTATTTTCGAAACTGAGGAACAGCGTTCACATGAGTCTCTCTCTGTCTGTCAGTTTTATGGAAATATAATATGGAGCGACTAAGACCGACTTTAGTTCTCATGATAACCCACCTCCGCTGTTACGAGAATAAGGGCCAACGCAACTACGGCCACATAAAGGTTATCGATCTGATAGTGGTCACCCATAAGTATGAAAAACCATTCAGAGTCATATGCGATCAAAGCGTATGTCAGGAAGGAACGCATCACATAATAAGAAGAGAATTGGTCTGGTATACAGACGGCTTTACCAGCGAATGAAGCTGGCACTGGCATATATGGAGAAAGACCAAAATCAGAACAAAACATCCCTCTGGGGCTTAACGTCATAGTTTACCAGAAATGTATGCAATTCAAGCATGCGCACAAGAGATTCTAAGGCTGGGTTATAACAACCAGAACATCAGTATTCTCTCAGACAGTCGGGCTGCTCTAGAAGCTCTGAACTCACATCGATTTACTTCGAAGGTAATAATGGCATTCCTACACAACCTGGCAGCTATATCGTCCAGAGATAACAGGTGTGGGTTCCTGGGCATTCGGGGATAGAAGGCTGACGAACTGGTCAGAGCGAAGCAGCTGCACCCTACCAAACCAGAACCCGCATTTGGGATATCGAAGCAGGTTATAAAGACGGCAGTTAAAAGATGTTCGACGACCCCTCAACACCTCGACTGTCCACATCTGGAGCGAGACACTCGGAGGGGATAATTGGTAACCCCTCAAGGATGCTGACAGCTGAAGTCACTAACCCGTACTCAGATAAGACGGGTGGTCAGACTACTAACAGTCCACTACCATCTTGTAGCGCACATGTAGAAAATAAGAGTCTATAATGGCCCAACGACATGTAGACTGTGTGGTGCAGAGGAGGAAGCCTTACACATAATATACGATTGTGAAGCACTGGCTCGCAGAAGACAATTTACTTGAACTTGCTCAAACAAGAGAGGGGGTAGCACAATAAGCCTTGAGACTGCAATGCGAATCGGGACACGAGCACGCCTGACCCTGCCTTAAACCAACCAAATAACCAACCCTGGTTAGAAGAAGCAAGGTGAGTATCGTTCTAGAGTCAAAGATTCGCTAGACGCGGCAAATTATGTTTTCAGGGATGCAATTGCTTCCATCTGTACTTTGCAGCCGATATTAGTCGGCATAGTTAATATTCATAGAAATTTTCGATTCTCAAATCAAGCATCGTGACCCTAGACACGTAAATACGACGCCATTAGCAACATTTTATAAAACCTAATAGTTGGGTGTATTGCCCTACTAAGTGATATTTGATTACTCTGTTTTGCTCAAATCAATCATATTTTCTGAAAGAAAAAGAGCCCCATGAAAAAAAATATATATATATTCAATAATTTAGCTGGCAAATGAAATACGGGAGCTCGTTTCAAATAAATTATTTAACAATTGCTAGCAGGTTACCTTTGTAAGAACTTAATATTTATAAAAGTAACGGCGGAATAAAACATGACAAGGGAAAAAATACATTTAGACGTTATATCAAATCATAAAGCTCGTTTTATAAATGAAAAATTAATGTGAAATAAGGAAACGACTTACCTTGTATTGAGGAAGGTCGGCGAGCTCGAAAACCTTTTGAAAAGACCGGAAAATCGTCAATTGAAAAACCATTACGTACATTTTGCAATCAAAGGCTACTCTGTGCAAAAGTTTAACTATGCAATGATTCGTATGAGGGGAATTGGATTCGAAATTCTTTAAAGCCAGCGCACAAGCTCGAACCACTTTCGGATGGGATAGTCTACAAACAGAAACAAAAATATTTATCTGGAATATAAAAATCTTGAAATTTAAATCCGGAAATCTCACAAAATGTTTGTTTTGTGAAATAATATTACCTTCTGGTAAAATCGGTTAACTTGAAAGTTCCTTCATCGAATCTGGTTTCGTCTTCCTCTTCTTCATTGTCATCGTCAATATCAGCATCTAAGTACATACAATAAATATTTATAAATATTAAATGAATATATTTATTAGTCTTTACCTTCTTGAATCGGCTCTGATTCTATTGTCTTGGTGTTTTCTGGAAAATTGAAAATAATATTAATTCAACGAGACTTTAATCAATAAAGAAATCCAATTTAAATTAGTCCAATATTATATAGTAATAAATCGGTCCATAAACTTTAAAACAACAAAACTTCGTTAAAATTGGCCTAATCCGTTTTCGAGCAATTAAAATCAGAGAGGGCCCCAACGAAATATACAGGGGACATTAATGAACGCATTACTCCCAGTCCGGGATTTCTAATAACGCAAAATGAAATTTATAATGAACCAAGCAACCGCTACTAAATTGAAATTGGCCTCGTAACTTCTAATTTGCAATGTTATTAGTTGTTTCCCAGTCCCGCACTATATGTGTGTAAATTTGGCTACTTAACTATCATAAAGTTTTCCCTATAAAGAGTAAGTAATGTCGGCTCTATTTGCTGATCTGCTTAATTCGCTTTTCTTTATTATAAATATCGCTGCTCGCCTAGAATTGTTAGTCAGTTGAATTATAATTATATTATATTTGTTATTTTCAAACCTTTGTACCGCGCAACGCGAAATTACTTCATTGTAATTTAGGGGATAAACTGTTTTTTAAAAACTTATCGGCTTACATACTGATAACTGGTGCAGTCGTCCGGATTTTTATTTTTTGGGACTGGTTTACAAATTTCTTGGAAATCGGACTAACTGGGAACTCGAATCTACACCTTCGTGTAAGAATCGTATCAAGTGTTTGCGAGAAGTGTCGGAGTGGGGTCAGTTAAGTTAGCCCCCCCCACCATAGAAAATTTCCGGGTGAAAATTATCCCATAATTTTGCTCTCCTCATTTTGCTCCATTCTGCTCCACTAATTTCGATTTTTGCTCCATTACAGTGGAAAGACTATATGGCTTATTAGGTGGGAGGGAAGGAAGGCTGAATTAACGCTTGCCCCCCCCAGAAAAAAATCAGGAATTTGATCATGCTCATTTTGTTCTCCGGGTTTTGCTCCATTACCAGGAATGACCTACAGAGCTCCCAAGAATCTTTCCCAGCGCCCCCCCCCCCCCCCCCCCCCCAAGTGAAAATTTTGAAATTTGATCATGCTCATTTTGTTCTTCGAGTTTTGCTCCATTTTGCTCCATAATCGGCGAGTTTTGCTCTACTACCAGGAGAAACCTAGAGAGCTTCCAAGAATCTCTCCTAGCCCCCCCCCCACCAGTGAAATTTTTGAAATTTGAACATGTTCATTTTGTTCTCCGAGTTTTGCTTCGTTTTGCTCAATTATCGGCGAGTTTTGCTTTATTACCAGGAATGATCTACAGAGCTCCAAAAAATCTCTTCTTGCCCCCCAGTGAAAATTTTGAAACTTGAAATTACTCATTGCGTTCTCCGAGTCTTGCTCCATTTTGCACCATGATCAGCTCGTTTTGCTCCATCACGAGCCGGTTTCGGATGCCACGCTTTGAGCGCTCAGCGCTTTCAAGTTAGTCCGAAGTACTCCGGCTACAATTTTACACATTCGAGCGAAGAGAGTTTGGCGCTCTCAAGCTGCTCTCACTTTCCTCGCCTGTTTCCCCTGATGCTCCATTTTGCTCCATGATCGGCGAGTTTTGCTCCATTACCTGGAATGACCTACGAGCTCAAAATGAACATGTTCAAATTTAAAAAATTTCACCGAGGGAAGGGGGCTAGGAGAGATTTTTGGGAGCTCTGTAGGTCTCTCCTGGTAATAGAGCAAAACTCGCCAATTATGGAGCAAAACTCGCCAATTATGGAGCAAAACTCGGAGAACAAAATGAGCATGATCAAATTTCAGAATTTTCACCGGGAGGGGTGGGGGGGGGGGGTTGGGAGAGATTTTTAGATTTTTGGGAGCTTTGTAGGTCTCTCCTGGTAATGGAGCAAAACTCACCGATAATAGAGCAAAATGGAGCAAAACTTCGAGAACAAAATGAGCATGATCAAATTTATGAATTTTTACTTGGGGAGGGGGGCAGCTAGCGTTAACTCAGCCCCCCCTTCCCACCTAATAGGCCATATAGTCTCTCCATTGTAATGGAGCAAAAATCGAAATTAGTGAAGCAAGATTATGCTCCATCTTGCTCCACTTATTTCGATTTTTGCGCGATGAGAGCAAAATTACGGGATAATTTTCATCCAGAAATTTTCTATGGGGGGGGGGAGGGGGAGGCTAACTTAACTGAACCGTCGGAGTGGCTTTAAGAAATCGAAAACCAAAGAACCACCTTCAAGCAATCGGGGTATTGGACCAAAATAGTCCATACTCGTGAGGACCAGCGCTGGGATCACGACAAGTAGAATTCCACTAGAATTCTACTTTCATGACGTCAGGTTGCTTAGAAACCATCATCATCGGCTGTACTGTACGCGATAAATAGGTCTCAGGTGACGTCATGAAAGTTAAATTCTACTCGTCGTGATCTCAGCCCAAGATTGACTTGGAAGAATAAACATAACCTAGCAGAAATTCTTGGTAGCTCTACGCAATAATTTTCATATAAGTGCAATGTGCAATTTGTAATTTCTTTGATGTCTGATATTGATGAATTAACAGAAAGATTATTATCTCTATCTCTATCTCTGGGGTTCCTACTTTCCAGGGCTCGGATTCCCAACCCACGATTCGATAGTATCGTCTATCTATCTTATATTTATACAGACGCTACTATCGAGTAGTGGGTACGTAATCCGGGCCCAGACACCGCACGTCAAATCAAATTTCTCCTTCTGTGGAGTGCGGTCGAAATCAGTTTGAGCGTCAAACCGAGTGCACACCAGCTTTTCGGAAATGAATTGGAATAAGCTCCGGTTGACTTTCACGCTAGTTCAAAAATATTCGGGGTACTAGCCAGTGTGCACTCTTTCTTAACCAACTCAGCCGCTATGATTTCACTCCTGTCATTCTTGTCAGTTTTTTTTATTATTGGGCATTTTTTCAAGAGGATAATCTTGTGCTTGATACTGGATTATGTGATGTGTCAATTGTGTCATACTTCCCTAACTCTCCAAACATCAAATTCTGGGATACTCGAGGATCACGAATACTTAATTTCTTCTGTGAGAATAGACCGAAAATCACCATTTCTACATTTGAAATCGACAAAAAAATTAGCTTGAATCGCAAGCATTCTATATCTGCGGGTGACGTCATCTACAAGCTCCTGATAGTGACGTCACTGGCAGGCCCAGAATTTGATGGAGAGTATGACACAATTGACACGTCACATAACCTAGCAATTATTATACTTGATTATCCTCGCGAAAAATTGCCTATTGAATCTACTACTTTCAGATTTTTTTATTCCATTTTCCGTTTCTTGGAAGTTGTTGTTGATAAAAGGTAAGGTTCATTTCACGAAGGTTTTGTACTTATGACATCGATAATGTCATAACGTAGAAAAAAAAGGTTTGTCGTAGATTGATTCATATAAATTCAATAGCGTTCAGATTTTGGGCGAGTTCTCACGAGCGTAAGTTGACATTTCTGGCGTAATCACATGATAATAAGGTGTATTTTGATTGGTAAAATCTCCAGCGTGGTGAATACTTCACCAATAAAATCCAACCATTTTATCACGTGATAACGCCATAAATGTCAACTTACGCCCATGAGAACTCGCCCTTTGTATTGTATTGAATGACTACTGATTTAAAAACCGACGAACGCGTATGACGTCATCAATTTGTTCCAGTCAAAGGGCAAAAGTACAAACCCTCGTGAAACAAACAGTACAAACCAATAGCCAAAAACTGGAATGCGCACACATTGCCATATCAGCCATGAAAGACGGATGCCACAAGGGAGAATGTTGTTTTTTTCTGTTGCTCGCTGACATATGACGTTTTAGAAAGTTTTGTCATATTTACCTTCACAGGTTTCATCAATTGGAATACGTGTTGGAAGCAATTTCCGCCATTTAACATAATGAGTGCGACAAAAACAGGTATCCCCTCCGCAGCAGCGGCACTAGGCTTCACGTTCGTAAATATGTGTGCGCATTCCAGTTTTTGGTTATAGTTCATTGGTACAAACAGGTACAAACAGATAAATGAAATGCACAGAACACTGGGCCTGAATGTTATGTTTATGATAATAGGTTGTAATTATAAACCAGTGCGTTCGAAAACATACCAGATAAAATTTAGTCTTTTGATCACGTGATCATATAGGTACTCACTCTCACCCATGGGTAAAATTTAGCCCTTTTTCGAATGCGCTCTTGAGATTGAAAATAATTATACTCGGTTATTTACGCGCCAAAATTTGAAAAGCTCCAAGTACAGGAGTGCGTTCGAGAAAGGGTTGAATTTAAACCAAGGGTGAGAGTGGGTATATGGTCATGTGAGCCAGAAGAGTAAATTTCAACTGATTTGTTTTCGAACGCACTGGGGTATAATAACATTTAGGCCCAAACGCTTTGCTACAATCAGGTACGGGTTTTTAATTAGAGCCAGAACAGAACAGGTTTGACTCCAGAGCAGGTTCGGAGTGGTTTTTCCGAACGCCCTGAAACACTGAAATTATTAACACTGGAACCAGAACAAGAACAAAATAAATCGTCTAGGATTACCTAACCTCATGTTCTAAAAATAGCATTCACAATAAATTAACTGAACATGAGTCTCTTAAAGTAAAGAGTATTTATAACAGCAATAATAATAATTAATAAAAGATTTTTTAAGTAAATTTTAATACTTATATATTTCCACAATTTTTGTGGAAATATATAAGTATTAAAATTTACTTAAAAAATCTTTTATTAGATAATGGATTTCCACCAAGTAAAAGCCGATTCAATCAAAATAATAATTAATTAAAATTGAAGTGACAATACATAACCTCAAGGACAAATTTAATATAATATAGGTAATATTGATAATTAATTAAAATTGAAATAATGCGTAACTTGAAGGGTAGTTTAATATTGTAGTAGAACTGCGTCGTTGTGGTGATTTACTCCAACAAGGGGTTGGTAAGGTTTGATAGGCTCCAGATATTAAGACAATACAACACATTTATCA